GAGGAGGAGGCGGAGGAGGAGGAGGGGGAGGAGGAGGGGGAGGAGGGGGAGGAGGAGGCGGAGGAGGGCCCGGGCTGGCTCTGCAGGTGGCCGCCGCCCCTCCCCGGGGAGCCGCGCGCGGCCCGCCGGGCGCTGGCCGCGGGGGCGCCCGCCGGGCGGCGGGCGGCAGGCTGGGTGCGGGCTGCGCGCGCCATGTCGTGGCGGGGGGGGCGCGCCCAGCTGCAGCGCCGCCGCGCGGGACCCCGCGGGGCCCCCGAACGCCGAGGCCGGGCATGTCCGCCCCTGGCCATCGCTCGGACGTCTATTCCCTGTGCTTTTTGTCGGCTTCGTGCGTGGTTTTCGCCAAATGATCAAGGATGCTCCTCGATGGTCCTCGCCGAAGGAAAAATACACACGCCCGAGCGATGCCAAGTGGGAGGTTGTTTTGTTTTCATGGTCTGAAAAAGGACTCCCAAAGGAGCAGAACATGGTAGAACAGTCGCCCCCAGACTATATTGTCCTATCTTTGGATCTTCTCCTCCTGTGGAGGGACGTACCCAACTTAACCGAACGGGGGCGCAGCAGGACAGACACGGTCTCTGGCACCATGCAGGCTCCGCAGATGCTCGGCGGCGAGCGAGAAGGAGAGGGCCTCCTCAGAAGGTTCGGAAGTCCCCCGGCCTCCTGAGCAGTTATCTGAGCCTTCCCCGAAAACCAACACGAATTTCTCAGAAGGCGCGAGCACTTCTGCGAAGTCCCGCCGCCTTCTGAGAAAGTCGGGTCGGGCGAAAGGGGGGGATAGCAAAGGGGGGGGGGTGAGAATCAGCTCACGTAGCTGATTTTCCCGGCGCCTCCCGGCGCCGGAGGCGGCTATGTATCGAGGAATGGGCCCCTCGGTGAGGCCGAAACCAGCTGCATGCAGCAAATTTCGTGACCCCCCCCCTTTCCCAATCCCCCCTTTCGTCCGGCCCGAGAAAGCCTTCTCCTTCCCACTTCCCCCCCTCGCACGCCGCCGAGGTGCACCCGAACATCTGGGCGTTGCGATCTTTTTGCGCACGGGGCGCTATCGCCAAGCTGGCGGGCCCCGGGACCCTCACACGTCGATCTGGCTCAAAGAACGGTGCAGAAAGATCAAGTCTACGTACTCCAGATCTCGTAATAAAAGGGAGGGGGTCTGGACCCTCCAACACAAGCCATTTCAGACCCCCCCCCGTGGGAGAACCCTCCAAAACATCGTCCCAAGACCCCCCCAGGCCCTCCAAGATAGCCTGGAAGAGACCCCCCCCGAAATGAGACCCCCCTCCCTTTTATTACGAAATCTGAAGTAGGGCTGCAGGCGCGCTTCTTCGCGATGCTGCATTTTCTCCAGCGCCAGATCTCAGGGCAGGACCAGCAGGAGGAGGAGGAAGGGGAGAAGGAGCATGGAGGAGTGGACGACGAGAGCAGGGGCGCCCAGCCACAGGCCTCGGCAGCCCCTCCTGGTCAAGGAGGAGACGGCCGCGGACAAGTAACAACCTAGGCCACTAGAATAGAGGAACAACAAACGCCATAAACGCATTCTTTTGGCGCCCCGCACGGATTTCTTGGATCTGCGCCGGAGCCCCCTCCCTGGCGCTCGGAGCGCGCCAGGGGCGGCGCTGGAGGCGCCGCCAGGGGGGGGTGCTGGCGCGGATCCAAGAAATCCGCGCGGAGCGCCAACTCTTCGTGTATGTGGCGTTTGTCCTCCGATATCGGGAATCTTCTGACCCGGGTCAATCCAGACCCGGGTCAGTCGGGCCTTGCAGGATCCTGCCGGATCCTGCACCCAAACCCGGGTCAATGCGAAGGATCCTGCAAGATCCTGCAAGATCCTGCACCCAAACCCGGGTCGATGCGACTCTGGCCCCGCAGGATCCTGCAAGATCGGGCACTCTGGCTGACCCCCGCTTGCGTTGACCCCCGTCTCGAGGCTCCCGACGATAGAGGGTATACTCCTGGCCGGCAGTAGGCCAAGCCGCTGGTTAATAATACTGTGCGCCCCTCCTGGGGGCGCACGCCCGGACACAGCACAGAGCAGGCGCATCGCACAGCAGGGGCCCGAGCACAGGAAGCACTCCAGGAGAGAAACCCAGGCCCCTGAGACCCCAGGACGTCCGCTGAATTTCGATGTGGGAGCGTGGCGCTTCCCACCGCGACACCATCGACGCTCGAGACACCCAGGGCACCCTGGAAGCCATCAGGGCGTTCCTTGGCATGGCCCTCCACTGCTGACACATCGCATCTCTAGGGGGAAAACAAACCTACCTCGCTTTTGACCACCCTCGCTTCCAAGAGATACCAAACGATGCCAAACTACGGCCCGTACTGGTCAGGCCGCTTGACGAGGAGGCGCGTGGTATGACTTGGTTTTGCCTGGAAGCGAAAGCGGGGTAGGCAATTCACGCTCTGAATCTCAGGAGGCAGCACCTGGGCGGTCCTCGTCGAAAGGACTGAGGAGGAGTAAGCCCCAGTGGGGGCTCTTACGCTGGAGTGGGCCTCGGATTAAGCCGGATTCTGCCGGAGTTCGGACCAGGGCAAAATCAGAATTTGACCGCGCAGGAGTGGCATCCGAGCGGATCGTAGATCGCCGCTGCCAGGGCGGCGCGGCCAGCAGACACCCGCCGCCGAGCACGTCCGTGGCGAGATCGCTCGGCGCGCACCCCACCCCTGGGGTGCAGCCGCCCAGCACTGCACTTATGCGGGCAAACCTCGCTGGGCCATCGTACACGATCTCGATGTGAGTGTGTAGATATAAAATACACAACACTTTTATGTATGCGTATGTATATTTATGTGCAGATGTATAACTATATATCTATGACGCACAGAGATGCATCTGTTACTCATACCTGTATACGCACGGTATACCGGCGGCCCACGAGGCACGACCAAAATCAACCCCAGACGGCCCAAGGGGCGTTCAAGAGTGTCCCAAGACAATTCATGGGGGCCACACCAGACCCCATGCAAACCAAAGCGGCCCGCAGGAGGGCCCCCCAAAGGCCCCCTCAAGACGCCCCGCGTTGCGCTAAGAGGGTCGCAACCTGCCCCCCGATGATGCAGACATGCTTCAAACTTGCCCCCGAGAGGCTTCCCAAGAGGACCCAAGAAGCCTCTAATGGGCCTCTTGTCCACGACCCAAGCACTGTGGCGCGACGACTGCCGGGACGAAAAACGAACCCTGGAAAAGGGGTTGAGTGGAGATCACGGGCTAACAAACGTATCATCGCAACGTCCGTGATCTGGGCTCACGCCGCTGGGGGGCAAGTGCCGTGGTGAGGCGGGCGAGAAGAGACGGGGCAAGGGGAGGGAGATCAGGAGGAAGGGGGAAGGTGGAAGGATGGGGAGGGGAAGGAAGAAGGAGGAAAAGGAGGACCAAGCGTTACATAAGATGAGGAGGAGGAGGAGGAGGAGGAGGAGGAGGAGACGGAGGAGGAGAAGGAGAAGGAGGAGGAGCAGGAGGAGCAGGAGGAGGAGCAGGAGGAGGATGCCTGGCGCTCGGTGTGCAGCGGGTCTCCCCCCCCCCGGATGTCTGGCTGTGGCGCTGCCCGTCTTACGGCAGCTCGGCTGTTGCCCGGGCGGAAAGAGCGGCACCAAAAATTGCACTCGGAGCCGGAGCAGCGGCGATGGCGACGACGATGGCAGCTACCGACGGCGGTAGGCAAAAATGTTGCTTCGAGCGATCCCCACCCGAGTGCGCATCGTCTAACCGATCCCTTGCCCCACTGGCGTGGCCATGGCCCCACTGGTCGACCTGCCCACGTAAGGTGGGGATGTATGCTTTTCCCTTCGGGTTTCGCGAGCCTATCCCCATCATATTAGGAGGATGGGCTGGCGAGGCTGAACTACCATTGCCCACGGGGGATGGGGATAGCTGAGGCGATGCTGACCGAGAACGTGAGGCGGAGATCCCTAGGTAGCACGGGCACACCTGGGGCCTGGCGACCGCGGCGTGCAAATCCTCGTTCGTCCAAGGCACGAAGCGGGATACGCACCCAAAAAACACCAGCACACTCTGGACCTCGCGGCCGCCGTACGCAAGGTGTCGGCTTCTTGGGCGCCCGAGTTATCCGGGGTAACTCGAGTTTGGATTCCCGAAAAAGGAACCCGAGTTAGCCCTGACCCGAGTTACCCCTGATGATGTGGGGCTCTGGACGCCCGAGTTATCCGGGGTAACTCGGGCCCGGGGTAACTCGGGTTCGGAATCCCGAAAAGCGAACCCGAGTTAGCCCTGACCCGAGTTACCCCTGATGATTCGGGGCTCTGAGCTTCCCCGAGGCGGCTTCTGAAGTCCAAGGGCCCCAAACCGACGAACCTCCGGCACGATCCTGCCGCGACCCCAGAGATCAGACAACCTGGACCTCTCGCGAGGCGATGTCTGGCCAGAACCTCGAAAATGACTGCGGCGATGGCGACGGGGGCGCCCAGGAGGCCCGCAAACATTTGCCAACGTCCGATCACCTCGATCCTCGATCCTCCGCCTCCTCCTCCTCCTCCTCATCCTCCAGCTCCTCCTCCTCCACCTCCTCCTCCTCCTCCTCCTGATCGTCATCCTGATCCGCATCGTGCTCCTCCTCTTCCTCGTCATCATCATCAGGATCATCATCATGATCATGACCATGATGATCATAATCATCATCATCATCGTCATCATCATCATCATCATCATCATCATCATCATCATCATCATCATCACCATCAGCATCATCATCATCATCACTATCATCATCATCACCATCATCACCACCATCACCATCATCATCACCATCATCACCACCATCACCATCACCATCATCATCATCATCATCATCAACACCATCAGCCTCATCATCATCAACACCACCGTCATCGTCAGCAGCAGCATCGGCATCATCATGGTCATCAGAATTGCGATCATCATAAACAGCATAATCATCATCATCATCATCATCATCATCATCATCATCATCATCATCATCATCATCGTCATCGGCAGCATCATCAGTATCATAATCATCACCATAATCACCATCATCACCATCACCATCACCATCAGCATCATCAGCATCACCATCATCACCATCATCACCATTATCACCATCACCAGCATCACCATCATCTCCATCATCACCATCATCATCAGTATCATCATCATCAGCATCACCACCACCATCATCATCATGATCATCATCATCATCAGCATGATCATCATCATCATCATCATCATCATCATCATCATCATCATCATCATCATCATCGTCATCGTCATCGTCATCGTCATCGTCATCGTCATCGTCATCATCATCCTCCCTATCCTCGATTCTTCCTCCTCCTCCTCCGCCTCCACCTCCTCCTGATCCTCCTCCTCCTCCTCCGCGCCAGTACTCTTCCACAGAGGCCCCCCTGCCACTGCAGAGCTGTGGTCACGCCCCTGGCTTTAGTCCGGCCGTCCTGGAGGAAGACCAGGTCCCCAGAGCTTCGACGCCGCCATTCTCTCTTGCAGCGTGGTCCCCAGAAAGTCTCCACACCTATTTTCCTCCTAGATGGGGTCCGAGTAGATGGGGTCGGAGGATCTCGCCGCATCGCCGATACATCGGAGATGCATCGCCGATGCATGGGCGATGCATCGGCCATGCGCTGTCGACGTCGGCGATGCATCGGCGACGTCGGCGTGGAGAGAAGTGGGCCCCTCATCGAGCGGCATCGCCGATGCATCGCCGATGCATCGGCGATGCGGCGTGATCCTCCGACCCCATCTACTCCGACCACATCCAAGAGGCCTAGAACACCTCTCCCGAGACCCAGTCCTTCGTGCCGCGCGCACGCCTAGAAGAAGAAGAAGAAGAAGAAGAAGAAGAAGAACAAACGGCATAAGCGTACACTTTTGGCGCTCCGCGCGGATTTCTTGGATCTGCGCTGGACCCCCCTCCCTGGCGCGCGGAGCGCGCCAGGGGCGTTGCCTCCAGCGCCGCTGGGGGGGGCCAAGTGCGGATCCAAGAAATTCGCGCGGAGCGCCAAAAGTTTATGTTTGTGGCGTATTGTTTTCCTCTTCGGATGTCTGCGAAGGGCACGACAGGGCTGGACCTGAACGCTGTCTTTCGTTTTGTTGTCGTGCTGTCCTTCGCTTTGCTCTATCGGTTTTCCTGGATATATGCCTCCTTGCCAAAACGAGAAAGCCCAAGCACGGCCGAAGCCCAGCAGAGCAGCGCTCGGGTCCAGCCCTGGGGAGCGAGAGGACGCCCCCCCGAGGAGGAGGGGCCCCCGCCGGGGCCAGAACATGCGCCCAGACGCCTGCTGCCGCCGTCGGCCCCCGAGCCGTCCGCCCGACCCCCGTTCCCTTGCAACGTGGGCCCCAATGGAAAGCCCCCCCGCACCTCTCCTCCCGAGACCCAGTCCGTCCTCCCGCGCGGACGTCTGCGAAGGGCGCGAGAGGACGCCCCCCCGAGGAGGAGGGGCCCCCGGCCAGCGCCAGAACGCGTGCCCAGCGTGCGCGAGGCCGCGCCGCCAGGGCGCGCTCGGCTGCGCGGCGACGGGACCCCCGTGGTCGCTGCGGGGGAGGCGGCCGCGTGGGAAGGCACGGCAGGTGCGCGTCGTGCCGACCCCGGCGTGGGCTCCTGACACCGCGCGGATCGCCCGAGTTTGAAGGATCGGCCCTCCCAAAGAGGCCCGACCGTTCCAGGAGGGGCCGCTTCGGGGCCACAGGCGGCGTTCCACCCGCGCTGGGGTCGCCGCTGGTCGACACGACGCCGACCTGCCGCACCAGGCTCACAGGTCCTCAGCACGGGGAGAGGATGAAGGGGCCCTGGGATACACAAATAAATACACACAAATAAAAGTATTCCCCATATTTTCCTATATTTCCTAGGTTTTTGTCTTCCCCATATTTTCCCTTTCCCATATTTTCTGGGGAATCGACGATGAATTGTGTCTGTGTGTTTTTTCCACTCCTGAAAGGACTGGGGAGGCACGCGCCGGCTCTGGCCGTGCCCGCAGCCGGCAGGCAGCGGCGCGCCGGCTCCCATCTCTCGGAGCAGTGCGAAGTGGGACAGCGGCAGCTCCGGGCTGGCCCCCCCCCGGATCCCGCCCCGGGTCCACACGAGGCAGTCCGTGTGGCGACGAGGGACCCCCTGATAGGGGGCCACACGCGAACCCTACCCCTACCCCCCACGATTTCTGAGGGGGAGGGGGAGGTTCACTTCGCTCGGGAGCTCCCAGACGAAGTGAACCCCACCCTCCCCCTCAGAAATCGTGAGGGGTAGGGGTAGGGTTCGCGTGTGGCCCCCTACCTGAGTCAAAACTCTGCTGCCTCAACTGGCCCTCCTCTGAAGTTCGGTCCTTCCTTCTCCTCCCTCTCCTCTTCCGTCCTCGTGGGGCGGCACGCGGCATCGCCCGCAGGTGCCGATCAGCGCGTCGAGAGTGGCGCTCGGTGGGCTCCAGCCGCTTCCCGCTGCCGTGTCCTGGCCCGCGACGATCGGCGGAATCGACTGCATCTTCGACTGAACTCAATCTCCAGGCCCCTCCCAGGAAGAGTATCCGATCGGATCGGGCCGCATCGGACACGGGATCGAGGTCGAGTCGGATCGGCTGCGGCAGGATGCACAACAGCGCCATGCGAACATCGGGCCACATCAGATTGTTGGAATTTGGAACCGACCTCGATGAGACTGGAATCAATATCGAATTGGATCGAAGTGGACCCAGCCTCCCGGACGCAATCCCAGACCTCCAACGCACTGAAAATTCGAGGAGACGCTCGACTCGGGCTCGGGGAACTCGGAGGTTGGCCTGAAGGGGCCCCTCATGGAAAGGACGAGACCAAACCTGAAATAGGACGCGGGCTCCCGCTGCAGGGGTCCCGCGAGAAATGGACCGCCCAACTTTTGGACGCCCGACATGGGCACGGAAAGAATGGGTACAACGCCCAACAACACATGTTGTCCCAAACCAACAGCGGCCACTGTTGGGCAGGCGGTCTCCTGTCTCAAATGGGCACAGGCCGCGGCGACACCGACCACGAGCCCTGCTCAAAATGAACAGGGACTGCTGCTGGGCATTGCACTCATTCTTTCCGTGCCCAGTTCGCGCGTGCAGAAACCCGGGATTGGAGGCCTGGAAATTGGCACCAATACCATCACAGGGGGTTGCCTCCACAGGGGGAAGATGATCCTCGATTTCGGTGTTGGTGATAATATTTCGGTTACCTTGGGAGCCAGAATATTACCACCATCGCCGAGATCGGGATCTTCTTCCCTCGGTGGAGGCGCACCGCCGATATTGGTGTTGGTGGCAACCTCTGGGCCTGCGACAGGACGCGCTCGGCGAAAAAAGCGTCGGCAAGCCCGGGCGCGCTCGAGCCTCCCGCTCCCGATGAAGCGTGTCTCTCCGCTCTCAGCTCCAAGGAGCCCTCTCGCTGGGCCCCCGGGGGGGGGGCCTTCCGCACGCACGGCGCGGGATGGCAGGGCGGCCCCCGGCGTTGGGAGTGGTGCCAAAAGGGGGGCAGCAACACAGATGAACGCTGTCGCGGTCGTAATCGCAGCCGCAGTCGTAAGCGGTGGGACGTGGGAGAGAGCATGCGCTGCGCCAGATAAAAGAAGATGGCGACGTCGATCCGTACTTCCCCGGGCGATATTCCAGTTCAGCCCCGCCGCCCCACTCCCCTGACCAACTCTGCTTTCAGAGGGCATGTCCTCCGACAGGCGGATGTTGGAAGAGAGATGAAACATAGTCAAACAGATACTCAAAGATAGTCAAGAAAGCACGAACGTCGTCCCAACACTACGTTTTACGATGCTTGACGATTTTTCCTGTCGAGGGACATACCAGACTTAAGCCTAAAGAAGGGATGCTTTATGATTGGGGGCAGGTGTTTTCGACGGGGGCGACAAAAGGTGCACCCTTCGTGGACACTCTGCGCCCCTTCCAAGGTCTCTTTCGGGCCGCTTTCTCCTGAATCGATGGATCCCCCCCGCATTGCACGGCCAACCCGTGTAATCAGGACGCGGAAGGGGCACGGACTTTGCGATTAGGGCGGGCGGTACACCGGACTCACTTCTATAGCGCTCACTTCTATAGTGCTCACTTTGAAATTGTGGTCCGGAAGGGGCCGCACATGCAGGCACATGCCGCACAGTCGCATGCACATGCCCATGTAAATATACAAAAGCCTCAACAGCATTGCCGCACATGCGCGCACATGCCACACCGTCCGACGCACAGTCGAATGCACGGTCAAGCAAAACTCTGAAATCATAGACGCACATGCCCGCACATGCCGCAGAGATGTCGCAGGCGATAGTGGCCTGACCACCTGAGCTCGGGGCATTTCGCAACCCAGAGTTCCGAGGATGTCTCAGGCAAGCGTGGCCGGATCACCATGGGGCAGGGCATCTTGGAAACCAGAGTGGCGAGGATGTCGCTGGTCAAGGTGACCAGACGACCATGGGGCAGGACACCTCCGAGGTCTGAGTTGTGAGGATGTCTCAAGCGAAAGTGGCCTGACCACCATGGGGCAAGAGATCTCTGAGGTCAGAGTTGCGAGGATGTCTCTGGGGAGAGTGGTCTGACCACCTCAGCCCAGGGCATCTCGGAGCCCAGAGTTGCGAGGATGTCTCAGGCAGGACTGGCCTGACCACCTGCTCAGGGCATCTCAGAACCCAGAGTTGCGAGGGTCTCAGGCGAAAAAGGCCGAGACACTATGGAGCAGGGCATCATTGAGGTCAGAGTTGCGAGGATGTCTCAGGCAAAAGTGGCCTGAACAGCTCAACTCAGGGCATCTCGGGCGAGGATGTCTAAAGCGAAAGTGGTCTAACCACCTCAACTCAGGGCGTCTCGGAACCCAGAGTTCCGAGGATGTCTCAGGCGAAAGGGGCCGAGACACTATCGAGCAGGGCATCATTGAGATCAGGGTTGCGAGGATGTCTCAGGCGACAGTGGCTGACCACCTCAGCTCGGGGCATATCGGAATCGAGACTTGCGAGGATGTCTCAGGCGACCGTGGCCTGACCAGCATGGGGCAGGAGATCTCTGAGGTCAGAGTTGCGAGGATGTCTCATGCGAAAGTGGTCTAACCACCTCAGCTCAGGGCGTCTCGAAACCCAGAGTCCCGAGGATGTCTCAAGCGAAAGTGGCCGGGCCACCATGGGGCAGGGCATCTCCGAGACCAGAGTTGCGAGGATGTCTCAGGCGAAGGTGGCCAGATCACTTCATGTCAAAGCACGTCGGCCTCCAAATTGCCGACGACGTCTCACGCGGAACTGGCCGGACGCGAACGCGCCGGCGTCCGGAGACGAACGCCGGCCCCGGCATTCTTGCACGTCCCGCACATGCACTGCACAGGTACGCACAGTATTCGCACAGGCCGAGCTCGCCGGTGGCCGAGCCAGGCCAGCGATTCCGAGATTCCCTGAGCTCGGGCCGTCAAGCCACTTTCGCCTGAGACAGCCTCGCAACTCTCACCTCCTCCTCCTCCTCCTCCTCCTCCTCCTCCTCCTCCTCCTCCTCCTCCTCCTCCTCCTCCTCCTTCTCCTCTGGCCGAGCCGAACAGGCAGGCTGGCCAGTGGCCGGGGGCGCCCGCCTCCTCCGCCCCCCCCTCCTCCCCCCCCCCTCCACCTCCCCCCCCCCCATCCCTGCTTCTCCGGCCGAGCTGAGAAGGCGAGCGGGAGAATATTTTATTAGGCGGGCGCGCCACCGCCAGCTCACGAACCGGGCGAATAACCGCCCCCGCCAGCAGCGGGCGAGTCTAAACGCACAACAAACTCTTTCAGGAAACCCTGGCACTCCCCAGGTTAGCTCTGCGAAGGCCAGGAGGCATTGGAGGTACAGGGGTCCCAGACAGCTCCTAGAGCATGAGCGTGCATGTGCATTGGGATGTGCACGCATGTGCGCCCGCGCGCTTCACCGCATGTGCGTGCATGTGCGGGCCCGCGCGGCCTCCCGAAGAGAGGTTGCGCAGGCATGTGCGTGCATGTGCCGATGACAGATCTACGAGTCTCGAACACCTCCCGCATGTGCATGCATGTGCGCGCATGTGCGTCGGGCTGTGCGTGCATGCGCGTATGATGGATACATCAAAACACAGCGCACACGCCCCCGCACATGCCCGGGCACGACGTGCACAGTAGGAAGTCCATCCAAGAAGGACCGCACAGGACTGGCACATGACTGGCACATGCCGCGCACATGCGCGCACATGACAGCGCAAAAACGGCCGCACATACACCCACCCAGGGGTATAGATGTGAGTGCGGTGTAAGGTTTGGCCGAGGAACGGGCGGTAAGGAGGGGCCGAAAGAGGCACGGATTCTGCGGCAAAGAGGGGCCCAGGACGGGCGGTACGGACAGACCTGAGAGCCTTGGAAGGCCAGGTCGACACTTTGCGAACGGGTCCGGCCAGCGTAAAAATCCCCAACGATGGGCCGAAGGGGCACGGATGCAGGGGTAACCTTGGGAAGTTGCTCGTTGTTCCTACGGCAGGTTCGTGCCGTGTCGACCCCGGCGTTGGTTCCGGACACCGCGCTGGATCGTTCAACCTTGAACGATCGGCCGTCTCCGCAACGTCCGATCGTTCAACATCAACCGATTCTGGGCCGCCGGCGGCGTTCAACCTTGAACGCCCGCGCTGGGGTCGCCGCCGGTCGACACGACGCGAACCTACCGTATGCGGGTTGACTGTCGCGCCTGCCAACGACGAAACGCCCGATGGGGAAGCTGGGCGGGGCTTCCCGGGGGCCCGGCGCTGAAGAAGCCAAGGGATCGAGCCTCTCGGATCGTGCGCAGCCTGTCGGGGGCCGCGCGCAGCCGTGGCCCTCGCGGAAGAGGAGGAGGAGGAGGAGGAGGAGGAGGAGGAGGAGGAGGAGGAGGAGGACGAAGATCGGGCGTTGGCAGAACTGGGTTTAGTTGGACCTGGCTTAAAGATGTGTGCCGGGGGGCGCCCCCCCCCCGTCCCATTCCACTAACCCGAATTGCCGTAACCCGAAAAGCATCAGCTACGGAAAGCCTGGTTCAGTGATTCCAATCCATATTTTGGGCTTCGGGGACCAATCACTAACCGGCTCGCATTAACCGGGGTCCTGGCTATACCCGAGAGGAGGAGGAGGAGGAGGAGGAGGAGGAGGAGGAGGAGGAGGTAAAGGAGGAGGAAAAGGAGGATGGATGGGACGTCATCAAAGAGGCCCTGGCGGTCGTCAGCACGCTGGCGACCGCCAGGGCCCCAGATGTCAAGAGTCCGCGGAGCCGCCGCGGCGGTGGTTGGCCCGAGGCCCCCGTCCGCAGGGGGGCGAGATGGTTGGCCGCGGCCAAGGCTTAGGCGGGCCACGCGGCGCGGGGCACCCGCCGAGCCTGCCCGACTCAGCGCGCTCACCCGAGAAGCGCTCCTCGCACCGCGCGTGCTGGCAGGCAGCGCGCCAGTAGGTGGGACAGCGGCGGGGGTTCGCGCGGTGACTGACCACCTACCAGACCACCCCAACCCAACCCGAAGACCCGAATTTCGGGTTGGGGGGGGTACGGATTCCATATTATTTTTTCCACATTCCCCGACCCCCCTCCACTGGAAATGGAGGGCAAATCGGGGCCTTCGGGTTGGGTTGGGGTGGGTTGGTGGGTGGTGAGTGGCACCACTCGCACGCGAAGGCGAAAGGTGGTCGCCGGCGCAAGGCGAGATCGTGGCCGCCTGGGCACGCGAGCTCGAAGTCCTCCGAGCTCAAGCCGCCAGCGGCCACCTGCTCCTCGACAGCGTGCGCCATGGCGCCGCCGAGCTGCGGCGTGAAGTCCCTGCGCACGTCCCCGCTCGCGTCGAAGTTCTTGCCGGCGCCAGCTGCGGAAACCTCTTCGCACACGGGGCCGCGGCTCTCCACGCCGCACTGGGACTCGACCGCGCCCCCGCTCACATCGATGTCGACGCACACGGGGCCGTCGCTCGCCACGCCCCCGTTCACGCCGATGTCGCAGCCCACGGGGCCATCGCTCTGCTTCTGCACGGACTCCGCGCGCTCGGTCTGGAGCACCGCTAGCCGCCAGCCCGCCTTCAGCCCGAAGCCGAAGGCGATGGCCTCCGACTCAGAGTCGCGACGCCGCCAGTCGACAGGTGCATACCATCGCGACCCCGCCTCCGCATCCGTGAGTCGTACGTCTCTTGCTCCTCCTCCTCCTCCTCCAGCGCCGCGGGGAAGGAGAGGAGAGGCGCGTCCACCCGCACCTCGGTGTCGGCGCTCGCAGCGCCCAGAAGCCGAGCCTCCAGCTCCGCCACGCGCAGCACGAACCCGAAGCCCTCGCCCAGGCGCGGCCCAGCCGCAGGTAGGCGGCCGGGGCGGCGGCAAAGCCCCCCGCGGGGATGCGCGCCGCGTGGAGCCTCCGGGAGCCCGGGGCGCGGCGGCCGCTCGCCGCAATCATCCACGCCGGCCGTCCAGCCGCCTCGCGGTCCTGCCTCGAGCCGGGGCCGCCCCGCCTCGGAAAGGCGGCCTCCGCTGCCGCCAGCCGTCGCCTGCGCGCTTCGGGCAGCAGAGGCGCCCAGCGAGGCGGTCTCGAGCGCTCACAGCGTCCCTGGGCCTCCCCACAAGGGTCGGCCCCCAGCAGCCACCGTAGCCTTCAACGCCAGGCAGTCCCCATCCATGGCCACAAGATGCGGCGAAGGGGAGAAGGACTGAGCCGCTCTCGAGCGCAGAAGCAGCAGGGAGAGACACGGACGCGCAGCGCGCCTGGCGCCCAGGGCATGCATGAACCAAAATGGCTACGGAGGAGGAAAAGGAGGAGGAGGAGGAAAAGGAGGAGGAGGACGAGGGGGAGGAGGGAGAGGAGGACATCCAATCGGGGAACCAAAGGTCCGCAGCTCGAGGCTCGAAGGGAGGGGAGGAAGGAGAGGAGGAGGAGAAGGAAAAGGAGGAGGAGGAGGAGGAGGAGGTTGGACGAGACCTTCCTTCCTCCCCCTTCCCTCTCCTAATTACCCCGCGCCCCCCCGAACATGCCCAACCCCCCGAGCGGGCGAGAGCAAGAGAGGGAGGAGGGGGGAACGACGACGGCGCCTCTTGCATCAAGCTGGCGTGCGCGGAAGCGCGCCCCCACAATCTGCTGCGGCCTTCCTCCATGGCTTCCGGGAGCCCGCCTCCGTCATCAGCTGGGCCAGGGACCTGAGAGCTCAGGATGAGGTCGAGCTCCCAAGGACCTGGGAGCTCGTGATTAAGCTCTTTCAGCGGCCGCAGGGCCGGTCGTTTCCCTCGGGATTCGACTTGGTAAGCACCCTCAGCACCCTCCGCAGGCAGGCACAGGAGTGAGGGGGGAGGGAGGGAGGGGCAACGACAGGAGGGACTGGCGTAGTGGGGGACACATCGACCTGGAATCGGCAATACATCGCCGATAAGTCGGCGATAGGCTCAAATCCCCACGCTCCTGGGCGGGGTGGGGCTATGAGACTCCTATCGAAGATGAGTGCGCGATTGGGGTTCCATGCCACTCCCGTAAATCTATCCCTGCCAATCGTTGCCCCTGAGGGGGGAGGGCGCGGGGGGATGACGACGAGATTGGAAGCAACTTCTGCGAGGACTGCGCAAGAACGATTGGGGGCATCTAGGCCCATGAAGGAGCAGCGAACCAGATGGAACTAGGGATTGAACCAAATGAGGCAGGACTAAGCCGGATTAGGCAGGATGCCGGTTTTCGACCGCGGATATAACAGCGCCGATGCTAAAGCTTGAACCTCCCAGGAGTTGCATCCCAAGACGAGCATCGGGGCAGGAAGGCGAGGAGCCACGACCATCAACTTGGCTCAGCATCGGCCGCCAGACCTCTAAGACGAAGCCAGGACGAGGATCGATTCGGGTGAGGATAAATCGAGAAACTCTGAGATCCAGCAGCTCTGGAGGATGTATCGGGCGTCGCGGCCTTCTCAGAGCGTTCTAGAACGCTCTGAGAGCGTTCCAGAACGCTCTGGAACGGACTTATCCTCGGCCTAGCCCTGTCCGACCAATCCCTCAGGCTGTGCCCCAATGTGGCCAATAGGCCAAGCGGAGACAATCAGATCGGCTACGCGAAAGAGTCGACACAAACGAAATGGGTATGAAGAGTCCGCACGAACGAAATGGGTACGCTGTCCTCGCCGCCGCCTGCCCAACAGCCGCTGCTGTCGGTTTTGGACAGCATTTGTTGCTGAGCATCGTGCCCGCTTTTGCGTACACATGCCGGCGTCCAAACATAGGAGTGACCCTGGGCGACATTGACCTTCGGT